AAAAGAAGGGCTATCAAACTTGAAAATGTTGAGTTTTCAATGCAGAATCCATTTATTTATTTTTTATAAATTTATTTTGCACCTACACCTACTATGTACAAAATAAAATAAAATGCAAACACAAACAAATAAGATCATTGGAGGAATTGCGTTTTAGCAGATGACACACTCACTAAACAACAATTTCTGGGATTAATTATTATTTTTTAAAATATATTTTATTGAATTTTTACAGAGAGGAAGGGAGAGAGATAGAGAGCTAGAAATGTCGATGAGAGAGAAACATCGACCAGCTGCCTCCTGCACACCCCTCACTGGGGAGGATTCGAACCTGAGACCCTTCAGTCTGCAGACTGACGCTCTACCACTGAGCCAAACTGGTTTTGGCTGGGATTAATTATTTAACTACAGTAGTAACGAGTGCCTTGGAGGAGAAAAGCCAGGTGGTGAGAGAAGATTCAGTGGAGTCCTATTTAATCTTCCCTGCGAAGTTGTCCTTACAGCTAAATTTTCAAGGAGGGTTAGGGTTTAGTGGGTGAAGGAGGTTGGGGAGCTTTTTAGGCAGAGAGAGCAGCACAGATGTCAAATGTACTGCAGCAGGAGGACCCTGGCATAGTTAAGAAAATAAACAATGGCCAGTGTGGCTCAGGCAGCACCCCAATGGGCTCCCCCATTAGGGGCTAAGGAGGACAATAAGAGCCAGAGTTCAGAGTCTCTGCCATTCTCCTCAGCAGAACCTACTGTTACTGGGTTGAATGTTCTTTTCTAATCTTTTACCTGATACTTACATAGTATTTAGTGCCTACCTGATCTGTGAAGTCTTCAAATGCTACGCCTTTCCCATGTGCCATTAGCAGTAGACTTATTATGCCTCTGTTCATGCCCAGATTCCTCCTGAGTCATCTGCTGCAATTACAGGCAAGAAGCACCAGGGGGCGGATGGCACTCTCCTGCCTTTGCTTTGGTAGACCACAAGGCTGAGATGTACACATAAGGAACTGTTTGGCATTGAAATTGGGACTCAAAAGAAATGTTGGCCCAGAAAGGAACTCACTACAGACTGATTCACTTGCCTCTCAGCAGAACCATTATGGCTTGTCTCAGTTTCTGTTCTTACAAAGGTATTTCTTGGATCACATATCTAGGGGAAATAATGAACAATATTAACTGATGAACAAAAACAGACCCAGAGACAGAGAAGCAATGATCAGACTCTCAAACCTCAGAGGGAAGGTAGGGGAGGGTGGGGGTAATGGGGAGAGATCAACCAGAGGACTTGTGTGCATGCATATAAGCCTAACCAGTGGCCATGGACATCAGGGGGTTGGGGGCATATGTGGGGAGGGGTTTGGGATGAGAATGGGGATATGAAGACAATTATGTGATACCATAATCAATAATTTTTTTTTTTAAAAAAAGGAAAGTTAAAAAAAAAGAAAAAGAAAATGTGTGGACACTTAATTTTGATCTTAAATGTTGAATTAGGATTTAGCAAATAGAACTATTACCAGAGTCTGAGGCCACTGTTCCCTAATCTCAACAGAGCATCATAAAAACAAAAGAACAAAACTCATAGTGAGTTTATCTGGGATAATTTAATTTACTGTGAATTAAACCAGAAAGCATAATTAACGTGTCTTAATAAAGTTGTAGCAGTCACATAATCATGATTTTTCAATGTTATTTGATTGTTCTCTATCCCTCTTCCCCTAACATTTGAGAGGACTTGTCAAAACCTAGTACTAAGCAGCAAGAAAGGGCATTTTTTTAAAGCTCTTTCAAAACTGGTTTATACTGGAATGAAGGTTGGAGGAGACTCTAAGAGAAATGTAAAAGGCCTTTACATATGCAATTTGATAGGCCAATGCAATTTGAGAGTTGATATGCTATTAGTATAAAGATCATGCAACTTTCACTTGAATGAAGTTAGATGCAGTCTTCCACATGTTTATGCTAAACTTTTGGCAGCTATGTTTCTAAGACATGATATATAATCATACCTTCAGGGAAAAAAACAAAAAAAATAGACAAGGCTACTCATTACTACAAATTGGTCTGGGTAGTGTTAACCTCACACCGATCATGTCTTACTGGTTGCTGTAGATGGAAATCTCCTGCCAGCTACGAGTCAAACCAAATAAATAGCAGATGTCACCAATGGCAATCTGCTGATATTTAAAAATGGAGCAAGTGAATCAGCAAGGTAAGTCTGGTTAGGAAGGTAAGGCTGTGCCAACCATTCTGTAGTCAAAGCCTTGTGTGGAAAATATGGTCTATGTATGTGTCATCAAGGCCCCTTGGCATGATTGTGGGGAGAAAAACGGAAGCTTATAGCATAAGTGTAACCATGAATATAGACTGTTTATAAGTACCATATTATGTAGATATAAAACATAATCTCAAAATAGTATTTAGAGTTAATCACTAGAGCATGATTCCCTGTTATTATTATCAATGTCAGTCATTATTTAAAAGCAAATAGTACTATTTAAAGGAGGCATGATCTTTTCCGTCTGGAAGCACAATAATATATCAATAGAAGACTAATATGCATGGATGCAAGAAACATACAAGAAGTAAATATACAGGGAGCTAATATAGAAAAGCTTAATACAGGCTCAATTAAAATAACAAAGCCTGGTCTGGTTATGGAAAGTGTGCCAGGCACTGTGCCAGGCACTTCATAAACATTATTACTGTCTTTACACTTCAAAGGAACCCTGTAGAATTGGGTTTACTATTATCCCCATCTTACAACTTGGGAGAGTGGGTTAGTTTGCACAGCAAATAGCAGGGCTAGATGTGAAAACAGGTCTGTCTGACTCTGTAGTGGACCTGTGTTGACATTGATCACCCAGCACCCTCCCTTCTTCCCTATCAGCATTTCTGTTTCATTTGGGGAATTTGCTTCTCTCTGTTGTGGGTAGTCTTGGTAGGGCAGAGAATGCAGATCTCTGTTCTTCCTCAGAGATGGCAAAGAAGTTCCAGTGGTAGCCTTTGGCCAAATTCTTTCAAATAGTAACATATATAAGAAACCATGAAACCAGTCCTTGAACTTGGCCTGTCTGAGTCCAAAGCCTCATATATCCATATGGGTAAATCTGTTACACTGCTCTATAAAAAAGCCAGGGTTCCTCCTCACCAAACACCTTCAAGGTGGGCTGTGTTGTCATCAGGTTACAAATGAGAAAATGAAGACTAAGAGAAATTAAGTATCTTGGTACAGTTCATAGAGATAACTGAGTCAGTTTGCTATGAGAAGTCTTTGTCACTCTAAAGCCACCACTGCACTGAGATACCTCCCTGGAAGGTTTTATGGCATGTAAATTAAGTAAAAGTATAGTCACAGCATGTTTATAAAATGGTTATGACTCTCCAGTGCATGCATGCTTCCAAGAATTGATTTTTAAGCCAAGAGAGCTCACCAGTAAGTAAATGCGTAATAAATACTAGTATTTGCTGAATCACTGGAGCCAAACTATTAAAATATCAGTCCTCATCTAATGATATTTGGCAAAACACAGAATTCTGGAGTAGAAAGGAATTTATAGGTGACTGAGTCCCCCTTTTTTTGAATCTCAGTGGGGAATCTAAGGGACAAATATGATACAAAGGAAGATTTTCTCTAATGCTCAGAGTTTTGAGTCACAAACTGGGAACTAGGGTGCCAGTCTCTAGATTCTTGGGGGATTACTCCTTCCACAACAATACATTTTCTCCCCTGGATACTATTCAAATATAAAGTACAGGCCAGCTTAAGAGAACATCAGTAGACTGATTAGACAATCAAGTTTCATCAAGTTTTTGTTCCTTAAAAACCATTCTTATGCAAGGGCATCTGCCTGCTGAACATAGTCTAGTTATGTGAAATCAGATGCATCTTAGGTTTGCTTAATTTGGAGCATTAATGATTGATGATTAAATATCAAAATTTTATCAGGCAAGAAGATAGTGTGATGGATGGGTGCATAAGAAACGCAGGCTTCCCATTCACCCCACCTCTCAATATTCTCTAAAACTTCAAGGTATTTCCCTCATGTTCAACTCACTAAGTGATCACCCCCTCTTTTTCTCTCCTCCTGTTAAGTAATCTTGATATTTTGATTGACAGCTTGCTTCAGTCTTCCCACACAGTATGTGGAGCTCCCACCGCTATCCCTAAAATGCACTTACTCAGTCCTTGTGTTCAATACATCTTATTTTTCATTGCTCACTCATGTTGAGATAGTTTTGTCAGTTCTCAAAGGACTGTGCCTTTGTTATTTTCCTTGCTTAGCATCTAGCACAAATACAATTAAAAGCTTGGGTTGAAGGGAAAGTAGCAGGACAGGGGCCTATAAGACAGCCTAAGCTTCAATATTTAGTCTTTTCATTTTTCAAAAAGTGCGATGCTGTTAAATAGATCAGTTGAAATAGAAGAAATGCATGTAATTTTCTTTCTCTCTGACATTTCCTTGGTAGGGCAGAGAATGCAGATATCTGTTCTTGGACTGACCAGGTATAGGCTCTGTGTGTTCTTTAGACCCGTGACACACATTCAGAATTGGATGGGGAATTCCCTGGATGAGAGCCAATTGTTAATTTATTTGCTGATGCTGTCAGCAACTTGGATTATGGCAAGTGCCTATCTTTGTATTCTTCTCCTCCCTTGCTCATTTTTTTAATTAATGTGTAATCCTTTGGCTATTCTGGTTCTTCCTTGACCCCATTCCTCAACCAATACACAGGAGATATTGGCAGTAAGATGGCATTGACATGTCACCTATATAGAATTGCCTGTGGTTTTTAAGCCCAGAACAAGAGAAGCTTAGAAAAGGAGTTTTGGGATGATAACTTTTGTTCTGATGCTTCCCAAAGGCACTCACTAAAGATTAGAGACAGATGGTTTGCACCGGGAGCAGAAGTTGTCTGGTTTTATGTTATGACCATTGAATATAAGGGTTTGTGCTGAGCCAAGAATTCTGAACTGGCTGTTGGAAATGATCTGCTCTAAGTGGTCTCCAGATGACCATGGAGATCAGGACTCAACTTCAGAGAAGTTGGCCTGGAGGAACAGCTTCATAGTTCCAAGTTCTGCATTGGGGGAGGGAGACATGCTTGTCAAGCCAGTGGTCAATGTCACTAGCTTTGCATCCAAATGCCAGAAGCGAAGGACCTGAGAGATGGTATTACACATGTTAAGAAACTTTTCAAGTTCATATGGCCAGCAAATAGTAGAGTTGACGATGTATGTCATATTCCAATTGTACTCATTACTCCACTTCCATTCCACTTATTTGAAAAATAAATGTAAATTAGCTAACTCTATTCTCAGCATAAAATATTCATCCTTTCATTGGAGTAGGTCTTATCTCTTCAATTAGATTATTGGCCCTTTACAGGTAATAAGTCTAATATATTGTAGTATTCTCATCCTTGCAAATAGTAAGTACTCCATGAATAAATACTAATGTTACAGTAAGTGGCTTTAAGAATATGTTCTCAGTCCTGAACATCTTACAACTTTTCTCCTACTTTACAGTTACCAAGCCATTACCTGCTTATACCAAGCCAGTAAAAAATGTGGCATATAGATTAATTGCCTCTCCATCTCAGCCCCATTCCATCTATCCAAAATAATCAGTGTTGTTAGGTAGTTTCCCACACCTATTTCCATGCTCATACAAACACATTCAAACATATGGGCAGATATACAGGATTCCTCTTATTTTTATTTTTATAATGAATTTTTTAAAAATTAATCTTTATTGTTGAATATGTTATGGTTGTCTCCCATTTTCCCCATTGACCCTTTCCATATCCCCCCCACAGGCCTTCACCACACTATTATCTGTGTCCATGGGCTATGCATATATGCATATAAATTCCCCACTTAATCTCTCACTATCCACCCCCACATATTTTAAAGCAAACATAGCATTATCCTCTATACATTACTCTGCAATGTTGTTTTTTTCACCTAAGTGTAAACCATAGATGTCTTCCCAAATCAGTAAATATAAAGCTTACACGTTCACTCTAAAAGCTGAATCATAGTTCTCTAATGAGTGTATTATAATTTACTTGACTATTTTCATATTAATGTATATTCAGATTCCCACTGTTTTCTAAATAGCTCCCTATTTGATCAACACGCTACATGGCTTCTTGTATATCTACTCCTGCTTTATAACTAAGAACATACCATGTCTAAAATCATATTTATTCCTTGGGAAAGTGCCTCCAACACAGGGGGAAGTGTGCTCTAAATGAGCATTATTTATCCTGAAGCCATAAATATATGTCTCTATTGGTTAAATAAATCATAATATAGTGGCGTACTATGCTGTCATTAAACACAATGTAAAAGAACATTGAATGACATGAAGAATATGATCTCATTTTAGTTAAAGGAAATATATAGATTTCTATTTGTACATGCATAGAACCAGAGGAGACACCCTGAAATTTTAATAGCATCTCTAGATGAAGTGATTATGAGCAATTTAAAAAAAATTTCTTCTCTTTGCTTATTTTTCCTCTCAAAATGTTTATAAAAGAGTAACAAGATTGGAAGAATTGTTTTTATGAATATTACATCTTATGTTATAGCAGTTGTTTTCTTTGAACTAAAATTCTACAACATAATGCTTTAAAAGAGGGATGGAGAGGATGAGATAATGCTCCCCAAACCAAAGAACTAACAAGACTCATTACCAAAGGATCTGGAAAAATAGGCCACGTCTATTTTTTCTTCTTGAAAGTGTTGATAACTGTGATTATTATGTTAACGAGTTATAGTTGCCAAAAATAGGTGTAATTATAACACTTTTTGACAATTGTAAAGTGATTTTCCTCACAAACACTGACAGGTTTTGTGTAGAAATATCTCATTTTGCTTAGAACCTCCCACTGGTACCATGGAGCTGCTCTACCTTGCATGAGCTTTCAGATCAGGGATAGGCAGCAAAGGAACACATTTTGCAGCAATTGGGAATTACACATCTCAAACTGGATATGTACACTTTACTTTAAGTGGCTTTCCTGGGACCAGCCATCAGCTTGCAGTTTTGCTTCATGGTTCATAGTCTTCATTGCTTGTAAAAGTAGCTAAACCTTTAGTTTTTCCTTCTAGTTCCTGATCATCACCAGCTGTGAAGCATTATATTCTGGAGCTTCGGGTTGGGTGTGAAGCATCAGATTAGCATCAAGTGCTGACACTTAATTGGAAATCACAGGAAAGCAGTTAGAAAATGACTGGGTTCTTGCAGCTCTTGCTTGGGAGGCTTTATGCAATTGGTGGCTTGGGTAAAATCCATGTCTCTAGCACAAGGAAATCCTGGCACAAGGAAAGTTCCCAGTAAAAATTTGTTAAGTGAACAAATTTGTAATAAAGATGTCCAGATACAGGCTCACACTCTGAAGTCACAATTTCTCTCAAGCACCCCTCGCTCATTTGCTTCATGCGTATGAACTAAAATTCAATCATCTCTTCAGTTAGTTCTTATACCGTTCTGCTGAAACAGGTCTTGTGTTTTTCTTCACTTTTAGGTAAATACCTACAAATTTTGCATCCAGGTTTCATTTCTCTAATTCTATGAACAAAATAAAAATGAATACACTAAAGTCAGTTCAGCATACATGCAGTTAAACATTCCGCTAAAACACACACACACACACACACACACACACACACACACACACACACACACAAATACACACACAAAACATTAACTGGCACCTATCATAAATAGCAAACCTCTGGAGTAATAACTTGTCATTTTATAATGTCTGAATTCACTAAACTCACTCTTTGTTCTCCTCCTCTGCTTTCTCACTATTGTAAAGCAACTAATAAATAGAACTATACCTAGAGAAGGTAGTAAAAGAGTGCAAGTAGAAAGGAACTTATTATTAAACATCTATTGTGTACCAGGCATTACTCTAGGCTTTTTAAATGTAATATTTCTTCTAATCCTCACAACCTTCTTGACAAGTAAATATTAACACAATTTTATGTATCAGAAGGCATATTTGGAGAGGGAAGAGACTTGCACACCCTCAAACAACTAACAAATGACTGGGCTCACCTAGCTGGTGTGGCTCAGTGGTTGAGCACTCACCTATGAACCAGGAGTCATGGTTCCATTCCAGGTCAGGCCTCATGCCATGCCTGAGTTGTGGGCTCGATCTCCAAGAGGGGATGTTAGGAGGCAGCCAATTAATGATTCTCTCTCATTATTGTTTCTCTCTCTCTATCCCTCTCCCTTCCTCTCTGAAATCAATAAAAAAAAAAAAAAAAAAAAGACTAAGTTGGACCAGGACCCAAGTCTTTGGGTTTTAAAAGCTTAAGACAACAGTGTAGAAATAGTTCCATTTTCTAGCACTGTGGTTGGCAAACTGCGGCTCGTGAGGCCCCTTGAGGGTGGCTCTTCCACAAAATACCTCGGCCTGGGTGAGTCTATTTTTGAAGAAGTGGCATTAGAAGAAGTTTAAGTTTAAAAAATTTGGCTCTCAAAATAAATTTCAATCATTGTACTGTTAATATTTGGGCTCTGTTGACTAATGAGTTTGTCGACCACCGCTCTAGCAGTTCTCAAATCATTGTCACTTGGTTAATAGTCATCTAACTCGTGGTGTCATTCCTTCGCCTCCCCCTGTTTGACTATTATGTCTAATTTTGAGCAAGTGACTCTGGGAGCTTGAGCAATAAAAGGACTGTGATGTCGCAGACTGCACTGGCTGACTCAATACTTGTCTGGGACAGCGTCCTTATTTAGTCCCCTTCCTCTTCTCAGTTTCAGGTCCCAGCCCGTGTCTGTGCCCTTTGCACAGGGAACAGGTGGCCTTCCACGCTGCCATAGGATGACAGTCCACACACAATGTTTGTGGTGATTGGTCTCACGATGTACAGTACATTTTTTATTGCACCAGAGATCAGCGGGTACTTGAGTTTTGAACAAGGTGAAAGATCTCTCTGACAAGAGCGGGGCTCAATCTGGGCACTTCTTCCAGCCTGCTTGTTTTTTTATTTGTGTTCCTCACAAATGTTCTAGATTTAAATAACTTGTTTATTTTTCAGTTAAACTTTACAATAGTTAACATTGTTCCTATGGCACAAAAAGTAATTTTGATGAGCAAATGATAACAGAAGTACATTGGGCTGTTCATTTTTGCAAATGATTTATAAACTTTAATTTGACTATTTAACCTGGAAGCTAAGAAGGTGACACTTACTGATATATATATTTAGTGTCTGTAAAAAATACATATAGTCTTTCTGATATTTATGTTCATGGTTTTCAGGATTCACAGACTCAAAAAGGGAAAATGGGATTCCTTTAATGGTTCATCATTAACACCATCTTCATCCAGTTAGTCAAACAGTATACCTCAGAGACATGGATGGTGTAATCATATTTTTCCTATTATATCTATTATATGTCCATATATATGTATATATATATATATATATATATATATATATATATATATATATATGATTACACCATAAGAAAACATAATTTTCTAGGCATGGGTACTATTCTTTTTCAGGATGTGACAGAACTTATTTAATTGATCCCCTATTATTAGAAATTCTGTTTGTTTTCAATTTGTCCTTGCTATGAAAAATGTTTAAAATTATTTTTGGGTGTGGACGTTTGTACATAGCCATTCTTATAAATTTTTACACATATGAAATTGCTGAATAAATGGTACACACTTTTGAAAGATTTTGATACATTCTGAAAAAGTGTGATTATGCAAGCTTTTATGTCCTCCACCAGTTTTCACTTCTTTATTTCTTTGCCATTTCCGTGTTGACCTTATCCCCCAGCGCATGATTGGGGCTCTTTTAGAAGCTTGGATGTGTTCATCTTCACTCTGCTGAACGCCTACTTCTGTAACTTCCTCAAAATAAGCATTTGTGGAGTCAGAATGACTATGTGTATTTTCTTTGGCATGCTAAATGTCTGTATTGAAAGTTAGATCATCCTGCATGTGTCAAATTAATTAATTATAGTTCTTTGGAAGCCCAGTACCATATCGCATAATTCTATCACATAATGTTGGACTTCCCTTCTGATAAAATTGATTAAACATAGCATATAGAATTATATTTTGTATACATACTCAGGATTCATCATTTGTTCACCTGAAAATATAGTGATTTTATATCCATCTATCAGCTGGCTGCATGTGCATCTAAATACAATACCAATTCATTCCTTTGTCCTGTCTCTTATTTCTGACCTGGTTAAAGGACTACAGATGATATTTATATTGGAAATATAATTAGGCAAGTGTACCAGCTACCAGGTTACTATAAACACATAGGTCTTTGGCATCATACTAAGAAAATAAGTCCTCTCATTTGATGGGTACACAATGTCCTGAACAGCTATTATGATTAATTAACTTTTCCATGTTGATGTAGGAAATTTTATTAGTCTCAGAAAACTAGCTCCAACTAGCTTGTAGTCTGATCACATACAGAGAACAAGTCAAGTGAAAATGGAAAAAGCCAAGCAACTAATCCTTTAAGAGGCAATAATGATTTTTTAAAGGCATCTCAATCTAGTTAATAAATTTTTAGCTCTCTTTCTGAAAGGGATATTATTCTATATGGGGATTGTAAACATACACTTGCATTTTAACTTACACAATGTTTGCCACCGTCCATTCATATGTTGTAATCTCTGTACATAACCCTACTTTGAGCTTTTTATGGAGGTCTGGCTTGAGAGTCATTCACTCTTAGCTATACTTGTTTGTTAAAGTAGAACCTAACTGCACAGAACCTGCTTTTTCACTGATTAAAAACCTTGATACCTGGGCAATGGTGCTTGATGCTAGTGGATTGTGTTAAAATTTCATTATGGTAAACACTTCCGTTTTTCAAGCACCTACTATGTGCTAATACTTTACATTTGCTACTTAATTTTCATGGCAGTCCTGCAAGCTATTTGACAGGCTAAAGTGGCTAAGTCTTTTACTATCAGATAGTCGGTGGCAGTGGAATATTCAAACCCTGGCCCCTTTAACTCCTGAATTATGTCCTTTCCACTGCAGGACAGTTCTGAATTTTTTTATGCATCTGTTTATGTGATTGGTATGCAAACTGCAGTGGTAGAACCTCAGGTAAAGAAGGACACGCCGAGCTCTTCTCTCATAGCCATCTCCCACTCTGCTTCTGGAGACACGTCCTGGCCAGGAAATGTCAGCCTTTGATAGCACAACTGACTCTCCCCTTCTCAAACCAACTTTGAGGAAGGAGCAGAGCTTAAATGAGGAGGAATGTTGCTTTTCATTCCATACAGGTACCCTTTTCAGTATTCCTGAGATATAATGTATGGAAAACTGGGAAACTACAGGGGAATTGAAAACACTAAGAATGCTCGCATGCATGTGCCCCGTCGGCACACATGGAAAACACATTTGTCTTGTGTGGCACAGTTAATGGCAACAAGGACAATGAATAAAAATGGTCTGTTTAGATTCAGGCACTCTAAAATTTCTCCGTGGTTTGTTAGGAATGTTGGAAATGGTGATGTGGCATTGTATGTTGAACAATGACAAAAACACATGGGCGTTCAGAAGAATATTTCTTCAGCCACTGACTTTCTTAAAAATTCTGGGCAAATTGCTCATTTGTATATATTTTTAAAAAGTTTGACGAAGCTTACTATGATTTTTGAGTTAAATATTAGATATCAGCCACAAGTTCTCTGTAACTCCTGGTATTCAGTTATGTGTCCCTAACTAGAGATATTTCAGACACACTCTTTCTTAAGGAAGTCAGGATGGCTAGAATATTTCAACTTTCCCCAAGATAATATTAATAGTTTCATTCTGTGATACATACAGGGCTAAGCACTTTCATTTTCAGGCAAAACCCCTTTGAGATAGGTCAAATTATTGTACCCAATAGTTAGAGGAGAAAACTGAGCCCCAAAGGAGATTAATTAACTTGTCATTAACGTTGTAGGAAAATAGTGAAGTCAGGACTTGAACCCTGGTGGTTTGGTGCCAGCCTCTGGGGACTTAAAATGCCAGACTATACAATTCAGAGACAGCCAGGCTGCTAGTTGGGAAGTTAATTTTTCAATGAATGCAACTCTGTGTTCAAAGTTACAGAAAGGACTCCAACCAGGGCTTTATAAGACCATCATAACCTTCAGTCACATGCTGGTAGCAAAATAGAACAGAGGGGAGGAAAAAGGAAGGAAACTGCTTAGGATTCAGGCCTGAGGACCCGTGGAGCTCTTAAGGACCTATGGGAATTGCGAGGCACACATAGGGCATCATTTCCTGAGAAGAGCCAAGGGATAAGAAAAAAAAAAAATCTCTGGATGGAAAATTACTTTAGACTTCATGAAAGGTTCGCATTGTTAGAAAGGATGACCGTTGTTTACCGTCCTGTATTTTGAGTTCATGCCTTGGGTTTTCAATGATCCTTGACTTTGGCTTCTGGCATATGCAGAACCAAGCAATAACCACTTCTTACCCCCAGCATAGATCTTTCCCAAATGCTATGCTACCACATGTACTAGTAGACACACCCACATGGTGTTCCAACACTTTTCCCTTCAGAAGGAAGTAAGGTTTCACAATTCCTTGGCCTTGCTTAGTCCATCCCTTGGTGGAGCTGTGTATTTCTCAAAGCAAAATGGTTTCTATCTTTGGGAATTCCTTTTGAAACAGGCTCAGCTACTTCATTTATAGGACAACCACAAAGGCATAATTGGATGAAGTCTATCTGTCAGTCACCCTGAGATATTTATGACATGTGCTTTCTGCAAGTCTGCCCATTTCCATTGTCTGGATCAGAGGGGAAATTAAGAGCAAAAAGAGGTTGGTTATGTGGTGGGGTACTGCTGAGAGGTGTTTCAGCATGGATGTATTTTAGCACTGGGCAGCACACAAAATATTTGCAAAAAGAGAAAAATAGGACAAAAATAATAGAATGTTGTGCTAGGAATAAGGTAGAATCAACCCTTTCTATTTTGCTACTGCTTCTGACTACATTTAGGCTAATTTAAGGATTTTCTGGGTTGTGGTTGCTTTAATTCTGTTTTAATTTGAAATTCATTTGTTTCAGTCTGTAGTTATTTTGTTTTACTGTTTATTTCATAGATTAGAAGAACCATCATGATATAGAAGATCTTTTAGAATAAGGATTGTGTGTTAAAACAAGAGAAAACTGAGAATTAGTGATGTAGATCTTAGTTGTCAAGCTGTGGACTCTGGATGAGTCATGTACCTTTTCCATTTGCAAAACGTTTTGGGCCATATTAGTGATACCCAAGTTTGGCTGCCCATCACATTCACCTGATGGGTGGTTTAAAATGAGATGCCTCAATGGGAGAAAAGGGGGACATATGTAATACTTTCATCAATAATAATTTAAAAATAAAATGAGATACATTCTGTAAAGCATGATGGAATTTTTTTTTTAATAATTTCATGGTGGAGATGAAATTGTTCAGTATCTTGATTATGATGGTAGTTATATGACTGTATATGTTTGCCCAAACCTGAGAACTATACACTAAAAAGGGTTAATTTTACTGTATATAAATTATCTTAATTTAAAATTTTACACAAAACCATTTGAATATTACCATATTGAAAAAAAATTGCTAGGACTCTACCTGGAACCAACTATCTACTGAAGGGTATCTAGTCTCTTAACCATTCCTTTACTTGTGAATCTAGTGTAAACCAACTTAAACACTCTAAGTTGTTGTGATCCCAGGTCCAGCTGTTCATGTCCATGAAGAGTAACCTGAGTGACAGAGAGTGTGGGTGCTACAGCTACAATGTGTCTGGACAGGCCACTTACATCACATGTTGTATATGACTAGGTTCTGAGTATAATACAAAGTGAGAGCACCCTTTAGGATCAATGAGAAGAAAATGTGGAAGCTCCCAAGAACTGATCACATATCAGAAACAAGTATAAAGATAGAAAATGTTGAATTTATAATATGATTGACTGTTAATGAAGGGCATTGTTTTGTTTTGTTTTGTTTTATTTTTTACCATTAAAAAGAAAAAGTGCTGTAGATGAGTATGACACCATTCACATGGAAGCATCCAGCAGAAACAGGCTCACTGATATGAACTGTGTGGACTTTATTGGAGAAGACAGTGCATCCTTGGGGCCTACAGATATTTTCAGGGCCAACATAGACCTCTGAGAAGATTCCACCCTAGCATTAAAGAAAGATATAGGAGACCCTTAGAATTAAAAATGTTTACTGGCAGCATTCATAATACATTGGACTTCTAATAGGAAAATGGGGTGTTGAAAATAGCTTTGTTTAACTTTGATGGAAGAATGTAGTAGGTATGTTTTGGGGTGTATCTTGGGAACACCCTTCACCCTTCTGAAGCTGAGGGTTTAGGTGACTGCATTTCTATAGTGTAGCCACCACCCCTGGCTTCAATGATGGGACCCAGGCAAGGACCAAAATCAGGTTGTTTGGAAACACCACAATGGTTCTCTGGGGGAACAGGAATTCAAGGACATAGAGAAAGTGAGGTGCTGGTGTGCATGGGAAGCCAAAGCTACAGTTGGAGGGAAACAGTAACTACAGTAATGACAGCAATAGTGCCAACAATAATAAATAATAGTATCTAACACTTATGAAATGCTCATGTGCACTAAGCCCTGGGCTAATCCCTTCAGATGGGTCATATTGCTATCTTGATTATAGCACAAGGGAACCAAAACTTTGATGTTATACCTTTCCTAAGGTCACATAGCTGTTAAGTGACAGAGCTGGGAGGCAACCCAGCTAGTTTACAAAACCTCTACAAGTCCTATTCTGTCTTGTGGGAATCTAAGGAGAGAGCTGCGGTGAGGGGAATGCAAGGGATGTGAAAAACAAGCAGAGCCGTGACACGCAGTGGCATGGGGAGAAAGGGTAGAGAAATGACCCCATTCATAAGAACTCGGGGTCCCAGCTCTAGTCTGCATATGACCTTGCTGTGCTTAGGGGAAAGTCTATATCTTAAACAACACTCCCTCTACTTCTTCCTGCCTTTATGAAGAACTAGTTTCACAGGATCTCTATTCCTTGAAATCAAAGAACTTTAAAATAGAGTGAAGAAATATGCAAAACAAGGGTGAGGTTGAGGGAACATTTCTCATGTAGAGGTCAGGGCAGAGGGGATTATCCCAGCTCTCTCTGGTTGTGATTCTATTTTTTTCAGCCTTCTCAGGTTGAGGAAGCTGAGCACCTGCTGCAGTTCATTAAGGAAATGTCATATTAAGGGAGAGTCCACAAGAGGATGCTAAGCTGCTGAGTATGCTTGGGATTACTCAGCAATACACTTAGCTACATTAGAGCTGTTGAATCCAGTTTCTTAAAATGTTCTCTTTGCAAACCTTTGTCCCATTTTCTATAATGCAATTACCTGTCCACTTTTCAAAGGTTTTACCATGAGTAGGTTCCTTGCCCCACTCATCGCCTTTCTTTGATGTAAGGCACCATTTATCATTTCTCCTTAAGAATCAAGAGTTCAAATCCCAAACAATGTGCTGGAGTCTGCGATATTCCTCTGTGAGAAAGCGTCCTATTGTGGAAATAAAAGGAACTGGCAGGCTTCCTCAGTCCCGTGGGTTTGCCAAGGAGGATCAGGCTAAGGAATTGTCCAAGAGCCCAGGTACATGCACCATCACTAGGAGAGAGCTTTTCATTTTGAAAGGCTCTGAGGGAGGTCAACAGGGCCTACACAGAAGTGCCAGTGGGGGAGGATGCTCACTAAATCACAAGCTGACCCCCGAGCAAATTTCAATGCTGTGGGCTCATGGGGTCAGTCTTTAGTTCTGTGTCTGGAGAGAAGTCTCTGTTGTTGTTGTTGTTTTTGTTTTTGTTTTCAATTACACTAAAACACACCAGCAAGGGAAAAATCCACTCTGGCTCACCTGTTTGTTTATTCTGCTCTCTTGTGACTTTCCAAAGGCCTATCTTAATACTCTTTGAGGTTAGCTATTTGATCCCCTTTAGCTGTAATCTTACCTCAGTGTTCCTTCTGAATTGAGTCACTGAAGACTTCCTGTTCAAGACAGAAAAATATGTAAGCAAGCAAGCAGCTCCCACCGGTTTAACAGGGCATTGGAGCTGTTGCTAGGCAGAGCATTTTAATACAAGACCATCAGCCTGGGTTGACAGATTGGCACAAAGGCACAGGTTACCTCACCTGTCCTCCTAGTTAATCTTGTTATGTTAATGGCTACAATTTCCCACTGTGGAGACTCGGTGTTCTTGGCACCTGGACAGTGCCCTGAGGCTTGACTCAGAGGTGTATAAAGAACTTGAGAACTCATTTGCTGCCAGAAGGGACTGCAGGTACTCCTAGACCAGCAGTGATCCCAGATTCGCAGGAATGCGCCACTAGTGGACCTTGAAAGACCTGTTCCAAGAAAGCAGCAGCCTGGGACAAAAGGGCGGGACTTCAGGAGATGCTTTTGGTCCTTAGAGCATACTTCACATTCTTTATGGGATCCTGGCCTTCTTCTCCTTTCCCAAGGGAAGTGTACATTTTCACATCTTTGTGATACCCAGGATGTGGCATCCTAGCTAAAGCATGATGACATCCATCGTTGTCCATTTGAAAAAGCCATCTCTGTAACAGGGATTTGCTTCATAAAACACAGCACACCTAGTCTAAGCAGAGCATTAAGTGAGAGGGTTGGAGATCTAGATTTAGGGCACCCCTCAATCATATGTGTTGAGCAGCTCCCCATGTCCCCAAAGGTTATTATTTTCCCCATAGCCTGCATGGGTAACCTATATCTTTGAAGGTGGTGGGCCTCATCTGGCAATGCCACACTACCTAGCAGCCTGCAGATTTGCCATTATCTCTTTGGAGAGTTGGTCTACTGAGCACAGAAAAAATTTGTTATTATTATTCTTGGCTTCAGTTATTATCCAAATTCTTTCTGTTCTTGGTAGACCAACTCTCCAAAGAGATAATGGCAAATCTGCAGGCTGCTAGGTAGTGTGGCATTGCCAGATGATGCCCACCACCTTCAAAGATATAAGTCACTCATGCAGGCTAGAAGAAAACTCACTTATTATAGACTTTCATTTTCTAATTTAAGGGGGTAAAAAGAAGGTTTGAAGCTTATTTTTAATTATGTTGAAAAAGCTGGGTCATTTTTAAAAATATATATTTTATTGATTTTTTACAGAGAGGAAGGGAGAGGGATAGAGAGTTAGAAACATCAAAGAGAGAAACATCGATCAGCTGACTCCTGCACACTCCTGCACACCCCGTACTGGGTATTTGCCCACAACCAAGGTACATGCCCTTGACCGGAATCGAACCAGGGACCCTTCAGTCTTCAGGCCAACACTCTATCCAATGAGGCAAACAGGTTAGCACAAAAGTTGGACCAAAAAAAAAGAGGAGTTATGAAAGGCAGACTTGTTTTTTATTAACTAGCTGAAGATTTTATTCCTTGAGAAGTGGGTTAGAATTCCAGCTCTGCTTCTTTCACCCTCCCAACCTCAGGGTAATGACTTAAGCTTAGAAAAGCTCCTTCATGGGATTGGTGAGAAGTCTACATGAGAATATATTAGTCAACTTGCCTGCCCAGCCTGGCACACAGTAGGCCTAAGCAGGATGATTGTCTAATTTTTTTTGAGCTGGCAGTTTTTAGCATTCTTCCAAAGGAGGCAGCAAAGAATCAGTTTCTGGATTTCCTTTTCATAAGGGTCACTTCAAACCATAAGAGAATGAGAGAGGGTAAAACACACACACAAAAAAACCCCTTGCAATCCTTCACATTAAGGATTAATAAATTCAACATAATAAAACTTTATTTCACTTACTTGCCCATTATGGGCTGTCCTATCAAAGCTATGGAAACTATCTTAGGATAAAGGCACATACTCAAAGTCCTGGAATGTCTTGTGCTCCAATACATTTTTATTTTATTTTTTAAATATATTTTATTGATTTTTCACAGAGTGGAAGAAAGAGGGATAGAGAGTTAGAAACATCGATGAGAGAGAATCATTGATCAGCTGCCTCTTGCACACCCCCTACTGGGGATGTGCCCGCAACCAAGGTACATGCTCTTGCCCGGAATCGAACCCGGGACCTTTCAGTCCGTAGGCCGACGCTCTATCCACTGAGCCAAACCGGTCCTGGCATCCAAAACATTTTTAATGATGGATTTTTTGGGAAGACTTCATGGATGACCATGATCATGGGCTCATGAAGTCACTGAATAAGAATTGTGGTCATTTTGGGTCACCCCCAAGTTGGGGAGGCATTATTTCTGTCAGATTGGGGGTAACAGACATTTGACTAGAAGTAGTTCATACTTTTCTGTCCAGACTAGAATACAAACAATCAATATACTCACACATGTGGAAATGTATACTTACATTAAAATATTTGGGTTTACCTATTTTTATTTATTTTTTAGAAAAACATATTTTATTGATTTTTTACATAGAGAAAGGGAGAGAGATAGAGTTAGAAACATCAATGAGAGAGTCATCGATCAGCTGCCTCTTGCACACCTCCTACTGAGGATGTGCTCACAACCAAGGTACATGCCCTTGACCCAGGACCCTTCAGCCCACAGGCTAACGCTCTATCCACTGAGCCAAACCAGTTTCGGCTTTTTAACATTTAAAAAAAATATATTTTATAAAAGCAGACTTCCTCTGTGTTCCCTGGGCTGCCTGTGCTTGCTTTTAAAGTAGTATGGTGTACTCAGGACTGTCATTCCATTTCTAATGTGTCTCCCTACTAGACTGAGCTGATCAAAAGCACTAAGTTGAACTCCCAGTTACTTCTGTTATGAGATGTATGAGCTTGGCATTATTTATTCAGCATAGCCTCAGTTTCTTTCCTTCATCCACAAAACTGTGATTATAATAGTATTCATCCCTTGTTGTAGGTGTTTTGGTGAAGATTAAATGAGGGTAGAGAACTTAGCATGGTGTTTGTCATGTAAAAGGAGTTCTACAATTATTATTGTGACTAGCATGGTTGTTGACTCACATGAGATGCAAAAAGTTTTAAAAATTGATTTATTATGCTTAAACCACAGTCCTGCTTATTCAGCTCTATATTCATGCTGTGCTTTTACCTATAGGGCTAACTGTGGCTAGAGAATAACAACCGTGTTGACTGGCTTAAGTTTAAACTCCTGACCATTAATCTCAAGTAGGCACTTAACGCTGCCCAATTATCATGCTGTATTTCTCTAATCCAGTCGTCTTCTCACTCTAGGTGAGTAGTTCATACTTTTCTTTTTTTTTAAATATATTTTATTGATTTTATACAGAGAGGAAGGGAGAGAGATAGAGAGTTAGAAACATCGATGAGAGTCATCGATCAGCTGCCTCTTGCACACCCCCTACTGGAGATATGCCCGCAACCAAGGTACATGCCCTTGACCGGAATCGAACCCAGGTCCCTTCAGTCCCCAAGCCGACGCTCTATCCATTGAGCCAAACCAGTTTCGGCAAGTAGTTCATACTTTTCTGTCCAGCCTCAAACCTCCCCCATTCTCATTTTCAGCTAATAATCATGTTTCTATTTCAATTGAGAGAAGGGGGAGACAAAGATGTAATTAGAGGAGGTTGCTTCTTACCTACTTGTCTAGCAGCGGTATATTCTATATTCTCTCTGTAATATGGGCAAATTGCTGTGTCCTTGGCTAAAACCATCCCCTCCACTGAAGCATGTAACTCCTCCTCCTCCCCTTTTGCCCACTCAAGCACATTGATCCAGCATTCTCCTCTCCTTCTGCAGCTCTTCCTATTGATCATACCCCTTAGGGTTCAAATATTTTATTTTTTTCTCCCACCATTAAAGATCTTATTTTGACCTTTTCTCAGTCAGTCACAACCTCATTTCTTTCATTCCCTTTAGTGAGAATCTCCCTGAAAGTTTACCATGTCAGCTGTCTCCAACTTCTCTTCTCCCATCTCTCTTGAACCTTTTCCAATCAGGTGCAACCCTGCCACCCCACTATCGCTATTCTTTTTTCCCCCCTTCTTTCTTTATTGTTTAAGGTATTACAGATAGTAGTATACATATATCTCCTCTTGTCGTCACTGGTGCATTATGCACTGCCAGTCCTGATGGTCAGTTTTCATCTTATGTGGCCTATCGGAAGCATTTGCAGAGTTCATCCTTCTAGGATGACACACCTGGTTTTTCATTTACCTCTACCGGTAGTTGTTTCTTGTTGTCTCCTTTGCTGATTTCCTGACCTCTAAATGTTGGAGAACCTCTGGACTCAGATTATATATTTCTTTTCTTCACTACTAACAAGACCCCCCTTTATTCTTCCTACTCAGTGCTGAGAACCTTCTTACTCAATGTCAACTTAACCTGGCTCAGTGTTAGAAATGCCCCACCCCAGATTGTTTAATCGGAATCTGCCTTCTAGCTAGAGCCTTAGGTGATTTATTTGCACATTCATATTTATGGTCACCTTAAGTGATCCTATCCAATTTCATGGCTTTCGATGCCATTTATTTGCTGAGTTGATTCCCAAATTTATATTTCTAGCTAAGAATCTCCCATGAAATATACATTCATCCAACTACCTATCAACTTTTCCACATGGTTGTTTTATAGTTAGTCTCATCTTAACCTGTTCATAACTGAGCTCCTGATATTTTTACTAAACCTGCTTCTCCAGTATTCTTTTCTCTGATCATTAATAGCAACTTCATTCTTCCGTTGCTCGAGTCAAAACCCTTAGAGTCATTCTTGCCTCTTCCATGTCTGGTCTGTCAACAATCAAGTCAGCTCTGCATTTGCCATGTCATGAAAATTTAATCTTTCATATCACTGTTATCTTGGACCACCTCTGCTTCTATTCTTCTTTCTAATCTAATTTGAAAATGACAGACATAATAAATTTTGATAGATCATGACACTTCTCTGTTCAAAGATCTCCAGCATTTCCACTGTATTTAAGATAAAACCCACAAGACCCCACATGGCTGATTCTTTGGTTATCTCTCTCCTTTTTTAATTGTACTCAAACCTCATTGCCTTTCTTGTTGTTTCTAAATCTCAGCAGGCATGTTCCTGCCTCAGGGCCTTTTTGTACTTTCTGTTCTCTCTGCCTGAATGCTCTTCCTCCAGATACCTGTGTGGCTCCC